AAATCTTGTCTCCTTGGCATACATTTGCCAACCTAATTCTGTTTCCTTCTGTTCATATTACGACCGAAAAGACTAGCTTACCGAAAGAGGTTTCTTTTGTTTAGTCTTCCTTCACTTCACATAAACCACAGTTTTAATATACAAATTATCAAATGAGTGAAAACACAGTTGACATACTAGTAAGACAAAAAGTAACATCAAAACATATTTGAAATCAAGACATCAGAATAGTGACTTAAAAGTATTAGTTAGAAAGTGATGACATTTTAATCTTTTTGAAAAATAAGGTATAGAATAATTATTTCAAATGAGAATATGCAAAATTATATTAGCTACATAGTTTGTTGAATAAAACACAAAGTTAATAATAATGGTAAAAAACGTATTTCCTCAGAAAGTTTATAAAAGGAATCAGATTGCATAAAAATATATGTATAGGTGAAAGTTAAAGACTCACTTCCTTTTTAAAGGAAAAAGGATATTGTCTGGGTAAATGGTTATAGTAAACAAGAAAGGTCCTTCCTATGGCTTAACCAGCAAAGCAGCAGCTATCAGCAGCTCCTTTCTACCAGACTGCAAAGAAATTGACATGTCTAATGTTTTTCAGATGGCTTAAGATAGACAACTTTGCTGACTACAAAACTGGATTCACTCATTGGCTTTGTCTATCTTATGAGTCCAAAGAAGATTCTTAGGTAGAATTCATTTGTGAAAAAATGGTTCCATAACCTATTTCTCCATATTTCCACACCCCCTTCCACTTCCATCTTCCTAAAAGTTTAGCTGTAAAACTTCAATATATAAAGCCTTATTTAGAAATGCATAGCAATTATTTATGTGACCATTCATGAATTTCTAAAACCAATAAAATCTGAATATCTTGGTCTATAATACACTTGGAAGTTTGTACATAGTATTTTATCTTGGTGCTTTTATTAGAGAAAGGAAATCAATGATGACATCTTCAGCTTTGTTCAAAACCAGTTCAGAATTTCAGATTTTTCTGTTTGTTTTTCACTTTTTAAATTTGAATTAACATGTGTTACACTTAAAGTGATTTTTATTTGTCATTTCTTTTTTAAAAATAATTCTAGGTTGTAGCACTTTGGGGCAGTAGCATTGAACATTTTCAAAAACAAACTGCCACAACCCAGAATTACATGAATATAGTTTGGTTGAGAGTTGATTTTTAGATACGTTAGACTGTTTTTCTCTTCCTACAAAAATGAGTTTAATGTTGATCTTTAAAGTACTAAACTAATTAGTGGATTTGAATATGTGTTGTGGTAACTTAAGACATTGCATAAAATTAAATATAGATTCTTAAGTTACTGATTCTTTTATATCATGGAAAGCTTTATCTCCCTGTTAATATTGAAAATTAAAACCTCATAATTAAAAAATTATTTCATTATGTCAATTAAAAAATATGATGGCCTTAAAAATGTAAGTAATAAACTATGTTTTTAAACATTTTAGATTAATTTATTTTTAAGTGTTTTCCTAAATGTATGCATGTGGACCATGTGCATGCCTGGTGCCTGTGGAGGCCAGAAAATCACATCAGATCCCCTGGAACAGGAGTTAAAGATGGTTATGAGATGTCATATAGGTGCTAAGAGCTGAACTTGGGTCCTCTGCAAAAGCAACAAGTGCTCTTACCCACTGAACCATTTCTCCAGCCCCATAAACTCTATTTTAATTTAGAGCCGTTGTGACTTTCTTTTGCAGGAGGTTAAGGGCAATTATATTACCTTCCTTTGTTGACTACATTTTCCTGATTATTTTCACTTCAGCATAATTATTCTCATGCCAATTGTTTTCACTCATTATGATTAGTCTAGCATACTACTTGTGTACTTACTGTTTGTTCATCTTTAATGAAGTAAAAACAAAGAGGGATGTTTACAAAACTTAATTAAAATTTCAACCTTGTTTTTCTTCCCTGATTTTGTATTTCTTCATGAATATTATTAATTAGCAACACTGCTATGCATCAATCCATCAGTATCAAATCAATTAAACCTGAGGTCATTAGCTAGTGTCCTGAAAAATTGTCAAATGACCTAAGACTTCAAAGAGGAAATAAATTCAAGTGTAAAGTATTACAAAAATATTATTTTAGTAGGAAGTAATAATTGGTTTGGTTCATTTATATAACTTACTTTCAGGTGACTAAATAATGTGCTATGTATGTACATTATGTCTATTGGATAGAATTTACTTCTTTGTGGAAGAGTAGGTAAATATATCAAAATGTGCAGATAAGCATATCATGAACATCAGAGGATATTAAAACATGGTGTCAACAAATGGTTCTAGAGTGAAGAAAAAATTAATACAATTAATCCATCAGTAGGATTACATGAAATATGGGAAAAAGTGATCCAAGTTCAAGAATTCAACTCTTGCTAGTATAAACAGGACTAAGTGCATTTATTAGATATACACAAATTTGTCCCATTAGTCACATAAAATTTGAAGGAATACTCTCTCCTTTTGAAAATCTTTGGGATCTTAATTTTTTCTGAAAGCGTACCAATTGTGATGAACAAGAGGTCAAAAATTACCCCTTCATCGTGATGCAAGAGCATAGTTAACTGAGCACGTGCAAAGATCTTCTGCACCAGCTTAGACATTCAATAGCTCTTTCTTCAGATTGTTCTGTGTGGAGCTGGGGAGGCTACTTGCTTCCAATAGCCATAAAATGAAACACAGGACACCACACACAGGGAGGCAGGAACACCAGAGCGTTATCCAGCTGAGCTGAGGTAGTTTCCTCAAGGTTCTGTGAAACCAACTTCTTACTGATGAAGTTGTTTTCAGGCAGATTACTATTTCTCAAATCAAGTACAAGTGCTCACAGTCCACAAAAAAAATGCATGTTTCTGAAGATACCTTAGTTTGAAAATGGGATCTTTAAAAAGAAATTGCCAAATAGATATGTTGGGTGGGTTAAACACCTTTCACGTGTTAATATTGTCACTGTGGTATGAGGAAAACTAACTACTGCTAATGCTTGCTGTCCTCCAAATTAAAGAGTCTACGGGCTTAATGAAAATATTCATATCAATTAACCAAAAACAATGATATATGAAATATTTTGAGGTTACATAATGATTAAAGTGTGTTCTGGCCCAGCGGGAGTTTTTTCTGTCACATATTTAAAAGTGTATGTGGGAAACTGGCTATTCTCTCTCTAAACTACTCTTCTCATCTTAAGATACTAATTCATAGGTGTGTACAGACTTTGAAAAATAAAGCCCCGATATACAAGAGAAAACTGTAAATTGGCAAGTTCATTTTAGCTTTGTCATAAGTGGGATTCCTTGATCAGACACTGCAGCAGGAGACTGAAAGATCTAGAAAATTCTTTTCAAGCAAATTATTTCTCCTTATGTTCTTCTTTAAATAGAACAAGAAAAGAAACAATATGAGTCATCTCACATATATGACTTGGAAGCAACAAGGAGGCTACATGGAGAGTGTTGGAAGGGGACAAACGGGAGACACAAAGTTGTGGGAGAACATGGGAGCGAAGAATCAACATGAATTCTGTTTCTGAGAATTCCAGAATGAAACCAAATTCTCCATATGCTAACTTAAAGTCTTTTACAGCCCTTATACAAGTGATATTATTCTTGTATATGTTAGCCAATTAAGTGAATTTAAATTTCTAATTTTCTCCATCAAAATGGAGCTTTGAAAAGAGGAAGAAGCCAGGCATGGTGGTGCATGCTTTTAATCCTAGCACTTGGAAGGCAGAGGCAGGTGGATCTCTGTGAGTTCAAGGCCAGCCTGGTCTATGTAGTGAGTTCCAGGACAGCTGGGGCTACAGAGAGACCCATGTCAAAAAGACCAAAAAAAGAAAAGGAGGAAGAAAAAAACAACCCCCCTCAAAATTAGTACTTAAACCACTGGGTGAATCTGACTTTGGAAATAACCTTAGTGATTAAAGCTGGCTTATAAATAAGCACACAATAACCTGTTTTAACCTGCTTGGGTCTAAGTTACCCATCTTGCCCGTCTCATTTTCCTGGTTGACTTTACAAAAACTGTACATGCTTAGATTATTTGACTCAGATCTATTTCTTTTGTGTGACTTGGGTCACAGAGGATAAGCAAAGTTTATATACTGAAAACAGGAAGGAAAGACGAGAAAAAATGAAAAGAATAGTTAATAATATAGTACATACATCATACAGTCTCTTCTAAATCTCAATCAGTTGTTTATTGGTTGGCAAACAAGTTTCACTTTTACAACAAATATTAGTAATGAGGTCATCCAACTTTGAGACCATACAAAATGGATCATAAATTTAAAAAAAAATTATATGTGCTGCTAATTTACCTTTTGTATTCCTACATTACTTAAAATTCTGTCAAATAAATAAATTTTCCTGTTAACAGAAGACTTAAAAAAAAATCACTTCAAAATAATTTGACCTTTCAATTCTCACTACTGAGGTTGTGAATTTCCTCTAACAATTAGTGCAGGTGTCTGTCCGCTTGGGGTGGGTCAGACTGAGCATTCAGCAATTTAACACCTATGGAATACAGTTTTTCACATGCAGAAGCCCCTCTAGCGCTATAGACACCTCCTGACTCCTAGACTCGTAGCTACTGCTGTGGTGATGAACCGCTTGCCAAATATGCTTTGCCTTACAACAGAGGTGCCCTGTAAACATAAAAGTACGTTCTGCTCTAATTTGCAAAAATGCTGTTGGAAATATTTGGGCTGGATAAAGATATATAGTGAGGGAAGGAAGTCTAATTTTATTTATTTTATTTTATTTTTTGTAAAAAATAATTTGCATTACTAGAAAATGATTCTTATAAAGTGATAGTTTCATTTATTTATTTTTTGCCAGGTGAAATCTTAAAGGAAAAAAAGTGGGGAGGGGGGGCAAAAGAAAAAAGAAATGAAGAAAAAAAGAAGGAAACTTTGCTTTTACTGGTAGACAAACTTGCAAGACTAGCACAAAGAAAAAGAAAATTTCTTTTTTTTTTTTTTTCCCACTACATTAACAGGACTCAAATTCTGGAGGAACAGAAAGCGGACTATATGCGCGATGCTAGTATCTGTACATGACATAGAAATTGTTCAATTTTTTTTTCTGCCATTAGTTTTATCATCAGTTAATACAGTAAATCATAAAATATGCATTTAGCATATAATTCTAGAATCCCCCTCCGTTTGATTATTAATTTTCTTGTTTTGTCTTGCACAGCTATTCCCGCTGTGGAAAATTCAGGTTGTGAGTGACCATAAACCACTTCGTTTAGCTGCTTCTGTTTGTGCAGCCCTCCAAATCTAGATGCAGCATTGTTACTAATTTCAAACAACTGTTCTGGCCTTTAAAAAAAATCAGGTCCTTGTGATTCTAGTAACAGAGCATCAGAGATGTTAAAACAAACACAACATAATTCAACAAGGCCACAATGAGCGCCATTTTCTTCATATCTCGTTCATTAACATAATGAAGTCTCCATCTGAGGGGAAAGGATGGGAAAGGACAGGGCACTGGGGAATATCAGCAGTTATCTCTCTCCCCTGGGCTGACCTAAAAATCCAAGTTAAAAAAAAAAAAAAAGAGTCTGTGTTGTCTTTTGAGAACAGCATAAAGATTTAGGAGTACACACGATTACCACTGCTTATATCAGCTCAGAACGGTCCACAAGGTGTTAGCAGTCTCGTTGGTTGCCATTTCCGTGTCATCTTCTATAGACTAGTAACCAAATGCGCAGGTCCTTTCGAAGTCCCCTCCGGAGATGTCCCCTCTTTGTTGGGAGGAACTATGAACCCGTCGCTGCTGCCGCGCCCCAGCTGGTAGTAGGCGTGCAGTGGATGCACGTGGTTTCTGGAGCCCAGGTTTGGCATGCTTTTGTAGTAAACGTCTTCTGCGTCAGCACCCTTGGCCGCTGCGGGTTCGGTCTGGGTGCTGGTGGTCACGCTGTCTGCAGCTGGCACACCGGCCAGGGCCGGCATGCTGGTGTACAGAGAGTCCCTGTGCAGAGACTGCAGGTCTTCTGTGTGCTCGTCGGTTAGCAAAGGGAAGAAGCTCTCGCTGTGGTCCTGGGGGATCCGCCTTCTGCTATAATGATGTGGCTGGTGGTTGTCTGTGGAGTAAACCCTCGGGGGCAGCAAGGGAGCATCAGATTCCTCGTGAATGAGTTCCAGGCCCAAACTCTCCTCGTGGTTAAAGGACGCAGCATCATCCAAGACGATGGCGTCATCTTCACTCCCACTGCCCAGGTTGTTGACCAGCTTGTTCATCAGATTCCTGTTCTGTTCGCTGGAGCGCTCGTGGTTGTTCAGGTATGAAGGGATGTAGTTGGAAGTGAGTTCCTTTAGAATCTTTTTCTCTAGGGCGGTCTCGTGGTTATAGCCACGGTCTATTATTTGCACACAGTTGCTCAGGTATTCGCCGCCAGCAATGCTGTAACTGTTGCCATGGTTACCATTCAGTGGTAGAGTATCCATGACACTTGTATCCCTGGCATTGTTCAGAAGCCCCTCTGAAAAAGATTACAAGACACTATGACATGTATATCCAATGAGCCATCGGACACACACACACACACACACACACACACACGCGCGCGCACGCACACACACACAGACACACCAACTGTGAAATTTGTATAAATTGCTAGCACCTTAATAATAAAATGTTCAGAAATAAACAAACATCTATTAGCTTTATACACATCAACACATAAGTATATAATTGAAAAACTAACAAAAATATTCAAAGTAGAAAAGTACTCAAAATAAATCCTAGAATTTTGAAAAATACCTATGTTATTAATTTACAATTTCACATAAACAGATTCTGATATCCAAAGCATGTTAAGCTGTAACGAGCAAAATAAAACAAGACTTTGGTATAGTCATCGCTTTCAATTTATACCCATCATTTCTGTTGAATCATTATCTCTAACTTTATATATCTTATCTCTGATATGGCTAAGTATTAACATAATTCATGTGTGATATTTTGAATATGCTGTTCAAAAATAAGGAAAACATTTAGTAATTTCTATAGTTTTATAAGAGAAAATAATCTTTAAAAACAAAACCACAATAGGATTATGTTAAATTTGTCAGAATGATTCAAGTCATGAAATAATGCTCAAACATATGGCATGTCAAAATAATTTACACATAGGAGCTTTCAAAAGTGTTTGGATTTGCTTTGTAATTTTTTCTGCTACAATCACTTCTGTTATTATTACATATTAACTCATCATTATTGTTTAGGGCCATTAGAGAATCCTACATGAGAATTTGTAAAAACACAGGGATTTAGTTCCTAAGAGCAGTGTCATTATGACAGTTACCATTTAAAATGACATGATTTTGGTATATTAAATTTGGGGTTAAAGGAGTATAAACATTTTATTCTGGTAAGACACAGCTACAGAGAAATAAATGTAACCATATAACTTCTTCAAGGTTTTTGCATTCCCTTGAATGAACCGAAGTTCAGGAATCTGTAACAGTTTCATAAATCATTTCAAGCACATCAACAAAAGAAAAAATATTCATAAACATTTAACCAGTACTGGTAAATAAGGAAGGATCATTTCTTTGCAGCAAAATTAAACAGTTCTGTTAAACTTCTCAATACAGTGTCAATCTGTGAAAATATAGCATTCATTCTATATCTGTGATGCAATTATGTTTATGAAAACTCAATTCAATGAGAGTTTAAATGATATGTCACATATATGTTAATTTTATATGGACTTGTGCATACTCTACATCCAAGTAGAACAGTTTTCAAAACTAGCAGTTTACAAAATCCATTAATAAGCTATCACAGACATAGGTTGAAACTATTTATTTTCATGTCATAAAATATCTGGTACACAAATCCACAATGTTAAGAAAAAAAAGTAAATGCCTTTTAAAGGGCTGTATGTAATAGGTGATTACTGTTGCAGAGGCTGGTATGGTATGCTTAATGGTTATGGTTGCATTGCTGATGCATTGAAACATGTTTTCTTAAATTTCTGTTGTCAATGCATTGTATATCAAACTAAAAACAGCCATAGAAAATAAAGTGGATATGTTGCAATGGGACACATTTTTATGATGGAATGTACTAATAAAAATTAAAAGTTTATGAATTACTTAGCAAAAAATAAATGCTGAATTTAAAAACAATTTAACTCACACAAACATTACATGAGACTTAACAACTATGTTGATTATGTGACAGAATAAAAGAATCAGACAACAAAAGCGTCTAATCTCTATTAGCATATATTTATATAAGTCGATTTACAGGCTCTTCAGTTTTAAAATTGTGAGATGAACTGTTTTTAATAACTACATCATCTATATGTGATGCAATAAAAGTGAACTAAAAAAAATTACATTTGATATGCAATGTTTAGCTTTACTCCCGTACTTGTCTCTCTGTAGGGCTCTAAACGACAGCATGAAGAAAAGGAAAGAAAAAACAACAAGTAAGCTTACAGCGACAGTAGGAGAAACATGAGTAAAAAGCAAATTGATGATATGCAGAAAAAAGAGTCAAAGGAAATAATTTCCACTGCCCCAAAATTCATGAGTTTGTGTTACATGGTTTATCATAGTTAAAAATACTGAGATGTTAGTTAGAAAGTAAGAACCCTCCCACTTAACACATGCTAATATAGAAACTTTAATAAGCATTTCTACAGTTTGCAAATTTCAAACAGATACAGGCTTATATTACACTTACTATTATCATACAAACCAAAGAGAGTAGCAAGAGGGTGAGCCATGACTATTTCCACCACTGTATTTCAGTATTACAGGTGTGTGATATTAGTATGCATCTACTTATAAGCTAAAGTAAAGATACTTATAAGGAATGTCATATAAATTAAATTTGTGAGTGAAATTAAAGTAAAATACAAAGAGAAAACCAGAGTTGAAGGTTTTCATAACTGTGTTCTGG